AATCCACAGCATACTCTTACACTTAATGTTTGTGAAAACACTTCTTCAGTATTCACCTATAATTTCTATAGTGCTATGCAAAAATGTTCATTCATGCAGCATTCTTTCATTGATTATCATGGCACTCTGTTAGCTACTCTGTTAGATCATCATAATTTTATTATCTTAATAGAGTACAGATAAAGGATGGATGAGACACTTACAAGGATTTTAAGAGTTTTGAACTATGTAGATATAAAATTCTTGACATTAGACAGTAAGAGCACAATGTTAAGAGTTATGACCACTGGGTCCCAAATTCTCTGGTGTATTCATTCTTTTCAAATCCAAGCTTCAACCTCTATACAAATCTAATTATTTAATTTCACTTTGATCTCAATATATCAATAATGTCACATCACCTATATTTTCAACATCCTTTCCTTACAATTTTCCAAGACATCTTTCATTTCCAAGAGTCTATACTACTGTCTTAAAAAAAAAAGCTTCAATATTTTTGTTTGTTTAAGTGAATCTAGAAAGTTTTTACTTTCACTTTTACTTACTGGGGCTGAGATATATACTATCTAGATCAATCAAGACACTGAAATTCCAAGTCTCCCACAATTCAGCTTAGCCCATGAGCACAGTCTTATATCCACCACATCCCTCCACTCTAGACACACAAACGATTGTCAACTTCCTAAAACCCCATGCACACATTTATGAATTCTGTGCCTTTCCTCAAGACATTCCCTTTGCCCAAAAGGTGGTTTCTACCTTCTCTTCCAGCCCACGTGCAATTCCTTCACAATTTATCAGAAAGAGTCGATATGTCACATTCTACTACCAATTTTCCCTAATCAGAGTTAATCCCTCCCTTTATTACTCTTTCACAAAATATTACTCAAAACTATCGAAGACAATCTCTTTGGCCTTATGATTGTGTAGAATTATCTCTACACTGCAAGACTCCTTGAGGGTAGAAAAAAAACTTTCAAGCACTCTAGCAGCGTATTTGGCACAAAGAGTATAAAACAGAAGTTTCTTAAATTGAATTCTGGGCACTGCTTAAAAGAAAATAAAGGACATTTTAAATGCTGGTGCAAACGAGTTGACAAGCAAACATTTTAGAAAATATCTTCTTTTCATGTTTGCAAGCCTAAAAAGTCATTTGCTCAAGACTACTCATCTCTTTTCCAAATTCACTAACCAGAGATGCTCACCTTGTACTCACATAACCAGTAATGGTTTTAATCACAGGTACATCATAGATGCCTAGACTTGTAACACATCAGCATGACTCTACTGGTGGAGCAGGTTTTCTAAGTAAAAAAAGAAAATCTTGAAATCTTTTATTAAATGACATATTTTATATACTACATTATATGATTTCAAAAATATCTTAGTTCAGGGGCCAGCCCAGGGGTGCAGCGAAGTTTGCACGTTTTGCTTCTCAGCGGCCCAGGGTTCGCCGGTTCGAATCCCCGGGTGCGGACATGGCACCGCTTGGCAAGCCATGCTGTGGTAGGCGTCCCACATATAAAGTAGAGGAAGATGGGCATGGATGTTAGCTCAGGGCCAGTCTTCCTCAGCAAAAAGAGGAGGGTTGGCAGATGTCAGCTGAGGGCTAATCTTCCTCAAAAAAAAAAAAATCTTAGTTCAACTCTTTATAGAAAAACATTTATCAATTAAAAAGTTACTCCTAGGAAATATTTTATTCAGAGACATACCAAATATACTTTTTGTCATCAAATTGACAAATGTATCATCTAGTTGTCTTTCCTACCCATGACATATTTGTAAAACTAACTGAATTAGTGTCTGAAAAAAGGGCAACTTTACTTAAAATGACCATCCAAACTACCATGACTCAATAAACCTGAGAACCTGAAAAACTACGCCCATTTCAAATAGATATAATTACAATTTTAATATACAGACATAAATGCTGGTTTAAATGTTATAAACTGATTAACAGTTTCCATAGATTTTAAATTATTTAACCAGTATTGACGTCTTAATGATTTTCATTCTTGCCATTTTCAGTAGACTTTTTTTCAAAGTTCTTCATCCTTATTGATTATTTCCTTACTTGTTTTAACCTATAAACAGCATTAAGTAAAACTCCATTCTTGTTAGTAATCTATCCCCTTCATAACAAGGAAATTTAAGCTGTATATTTTCTTTAAAACTTACTTATCTGATCTTCTTTAAAATATGTCCATGCGTTCTTATTTTCAAGTATTCCTACTGCTGACACTTGGCATATATGCATTATTATCTGGTGCATAATCTAAAAGTGATACAGACTATTCTAACAGTGACAGTTCAGGGTAACTGATCATCAGATTTACTTTTTAATGTCTGAATCACGTGTTATTTTTCCCTCTGTAGTCTACACATTGGTCACTGGCCCTTATCTTTCTATGTTAGAATCTTAGAAGAAATAAAAAGCACTTAGCTGAGAAATGACCACCATGTTTCAAGATCAGGATATGTTTGGCTTAGAATCTTTGCTGTCTTACTTCCTAGCTCTGTGACCTTGCAGAAGTTATTTAATGTACCTCAGACTCAATTTCCACATCTTTCATGGGATAAATTGTGCTTGATTTATAGAAGTGATGAGAGTAAATAATTTTAACCATCAATAAATTTTAAACATCTTTTCCGTTTCCACCTTATTCTACCATATTTCTTTCTACTATACTCTCTTTCCCCTTCTATTTCTCTCTTTCCTCTTGCTACACCTTGGCTAGTGTCCAAAATGTACATCTCGGTCCAGCACTTGGTTTATCAAGGGCAGAAAAGAAATCTAAATCAATTCTGCAAATATCACACACAAGAAACTGGACTTTCACGAAGTTTCTAGCGCTCCTCTCTAACGACAGAGACAAAGGTCCTAGAGTGAAAATACCTGAGTTTGAAGAAGAGTCCACCAGTCACTATTTGGCCTATAACTTCTTGGTATTTTTATTCCTTATGACTAGGTTCCTCCAATCGGGAAACAAAACTAAGACATATCTCACAGAGACATTGTGAAAATAAAATATAAAATTTAGCGTGGCATCTGGCAAATAGAAAAACTATGGGGCTGGCCTGATGGCATAGCGGTCAAGTGCACACACTCTGCTTTGGTGGCCTGGGGTTCACCGGTTCGGATCCTGGGCACGGACCTACACACTGCTTATTAAGCCATGCTGAGGCAGGCGTCCCATATATAAAGTAGACGAAGACGGGCACAGATGTTAGCTCAGGACCAGTCTTCCTCAGCAAAAAGAGGAGGATTTGCAGTGGGTGTTAGCCCAGGGGTAATCTTCCTCAAAAGAAAAATAAAAAAGAAAGGAAGGAAAAAAAACTATGAGGTGAGTTCCTTGTTAGACAATTCTGCCCTTCCTCTCTGTAACCAATAAACAGGAAGTCGCAGAAAAATTCTCCATTTCAAAAACCTAGACAAAAATCATCTCAAGACCCAGAGCAGGAAGTTTACTGGTAACTCTGCAAGCCCTGTGTGTCCTGGAGACTAGTTTGCTCTGCAATGCACCCTGATCAACCAAAGACGATCACCAGCGCGGGGCGTAACTCCTGCTCCTCAAATGACTCTTTGGCTATGACTACATGAGACCAGTGACAATATCTCCCATATATTTTTGTCACTTTTTTCAGAAAAATGGAAAAGTAGGACTTACAAACCGTTTAATTATTTGTAAGTTACTCTGTCTACTGAGAAAAGGAGATATGCATATATCTTAGAAGGGTATTCTAGGAAAAAAGTTTCACTCACTTCTTGAAAGTAACCGTGATAAATGTGACATACTTAACATACTCAACAAATACTGATGTTTAATCATTTTAAAGGAAATAAGATAAAGAGAGTAAAAGCATAACCTTAACTTAAAAGAAATATTCCTCAGAAATGGTGCGATGAGAGCTCTATTAGAATAAAGTGAAAACTTCAGAAAAAATAAAACCAGTCTATAAAACAAACAAATCTAAAGAAACAGTCTGTTAACAAAGACAAGAAGACTTAACTCTTCATAGGAATTTTTACTTGAAAATGCACACATTTAACGAATAATTGTTGATATAAAAGGTCAAATTTAAACAGCAATACCTGGATGATTCTAAAAAAATAAAATCTGTTTGGGTCAACTTCTCCTTTCAGATTTAAAGTTGTAAATGTAATGGAAGAAGCAATGTAAAAATATCAAGTAAATATATGATGAATGAGAAAAAAAACAATTTTTAGAAAAAGAAAGAAAAGCTAACCCAAGCGTATCTGAAAACAGTTGACTATCTCTATTATTGAAGATTTTGCTTAAACAGACAAAAACCAAAGTAAAAACCTTCACAAACCACCCTTTTATTTTAGCTTGAAATGAAAAAGAAAGTAGAAATGCACTGCAATGTGAAAATTATGCAAAATATAACAAAACATATAAAAAGTCAAATACAACCATAGCTAAAACAATGTTAGTACCTGAAAAAACTGTCCTTTGTAAATTACACATCCTTGTAAGCCTTTCAAAAGCAACTACTCCCAGCTAACAAAAACCTAATCATAATGCATCTTTTCTCCAAGTTCAAAAACATATTTTCTAATAAAAACAAAATTGCTAATATCTGTAATATCCACTTATGTAAGATAACCTAAAGTTTGTTTATGCACAAATACTCATTAAGGTCACCAAATTTAATGAACGTATAAACAGAAAAGTTTCTTGAACTTACACACAGAAATTGATTTCTAAAGAAAATATTTATATGGGTGATATTCTAATATTTCTACTTATAAACACTACATGAAAGAACAATTGCCAATTTAGAAGAAGGCAAAGATGTTTTACACATCATTCCATTGATTACCAGTCCTAACTGTATTTTAATCTTTTCTATGGGATTTAAGTTATATGCCAAAATTCATACTAAATAGAGCAAAAGATCCACTGTTCCTTTAATTATCATAACAGCCCCTAAAATCCTAACAAGGATGACATTTTTAAAAATATGTTTAAACTTACCCCATTTAATGGATATGTTTTCCATCCTAGCTCTCCAAGAACAGTAGTTGTATCAAGCAACACAACTGGAATTAAATAAAGAAACCTTGTATGAATTTCTCAATTGATGCAAAAATATATCAAAGTATTTAAATCATTAATGTTAACTACCCTATTATTCATTGCATTAGCTTTAATAAGTTGCATTACTTACTGTAAAATTATTTGTATATACCAAATATTAACATTTAATACTTAATAATATTAAGAAATGATAAAATGTATGAGGTGGTTGTAAGTTAAGTTTAAAATATGTAATTTGTTTTTAATAATACAAAATGAAATAAATAACTGAATAACAGAATTAACAAAGTCATTTTTAATAGCTCTTAAAATTAATGAAATAACCACCTTCACTGTTCCAGAACCCCACTTTCATATATAGTCTTTTTATACCACATTAAAGGAAGGAAAAACTATATTAAAATAGGCTTCTGTATTTCCTTTCTCTGTTATTAAATGCCCTTAAATATGATTGACAAAGTATGAAAACAACTCATTTTGACTACACCTAATTTCTTCAAAGCATACATTATATAATTATTGTTATGTGCTAGGTTGTATATTTACTGCTAAGTTTGGCAAAAACAAAAATAAAAATTATGCATCTTTTTCCCTGACAGAAGGAATTCATAATCTGATCAAAATGCAGACATGTAAACAAATAATTACAACATATTCTGTTAAATTCTAAAATAGAAGAGACGATATAGTAGCCTAGCAATTAAGCTGGGCTAAGGCTGGTAGGGCAGGCTGAGAGGATTTCACAAAGGAGATGCAATTTAAGCTGGGCTAGGATGAGGGAGTCTTCAATCAGATGTGATAAGAAACAAATACTGTTTTTTCTTTTCTTCGAATACCTTCTATAAAGTAACTGAGACATGACTAAATCAGTTCAGAGTTGCTGTAATGAGAACTAGGAGTAGGAATTATTTTGGGAAAGTAGGAGAACAGAAACAAGGCTGGAAAGATAAATGGAGATCAACTGGGGAGGTGTTTTGTAGTGTTTCCAGCATGTAAATGTGTAGGGCCCATTATTCAGCAGATCTTTATTTTTAACTGCTACTTCCAAGTCCCACAGATGCCAGTAGGCCGTGGACCACACTGAGAAACAATGCTTTGTTATCTCATCAAGAGTTCTGATTCTTTATCTAGGTAAGAAAATGGGTATTTTTATGTGTAGTTTAAAAGAATGCCATTGGGAGTACGTTTCTTGGCATCTGCTGTTGAGTGTCTATAGTAAGGATCCTGTGGTTTTTCTTATTTGCATCACTGTAATAGATTTTTTTTTATTTTTAAATATAAAACCATGCTTAAATTTCTGGGATAAACTCTACTTACTCGTTGCAGAATATTCTTTCAGTATTGTTAAAATGTATTTACTAAAGTACATCTGCAAAACTGAGCTATAATACTATAATTTTTATTGTGAAAACTCTCAAACATTTTTAAAATGTAGAGAAAACAGCACAATGAACCCTCATGTGCTAATCACCCAGTTTCAGTAATTACCAACTTACAGCTTATCTTATTTCATTTATACATGTTTACCTACTCTCCCACTCCAAGATTTCTTTAAAGTAAAATCCAGTAGTTGTATCATTTCATCTGTAAAAATATCAGTAGGTATTTCTAAAATAAAGACTCTTTTTAATATAACTAGAATATTTTAATTCATAATAGTAATTCCTTAATGTCATCAAATATCCAGTTAGTGTTTAATATTGCTATTGTCTCAACTTAACAGGAAATCAAGATCTAAATAAGTGCCATACATCACAGTGAGCTGACATACCTCTTTAAGTGTTTTTTTATTCTGTAGCTTCCCACACCATCTTTTTCAGTTGTTAGACTCATTGATATGATCTACTTAGAATAAAATTCACCCTTTTTAAATGTACATTTCTATGAATTGTGACAAACCCCTATATTCATGTAACCATCGCTACAATCAAGCCATAGAATATTTCCATCACCCCCAAAATTTGCTCTGTGATTGTTTATAGTGAATCCCTTCCCTACCCAGTTCCTGGCAACAACTAATCTGATTTCTGTCCCTATGGTTTCGCCTTTCCCAAAATGTCAAATGAATGAAATCACAGAGCATGTAGCCCTTTGAGCCTGGTTTCTTTCCCATAGCATAACACATTTGAGATTCATCTATTTTGTTGTGTGCATCAATAGCCTGCTCCTTTTTCTTGCAAGAAAGTATTCTTCTACCTTATGGAATCCCATAGTCAACAGACATGTGGGCTATTTCCAGTTGGAGACCTTATAAGTAATGTCACTATAAATTTTCACATACAGATTTTTGTGTAAATCTGTGCTTTCATTTCTCCCTGGTAAGTAACTAGAAGTGGGATTACCAGGTTATATGGAGAATGCTTACTTTTTTTTCTGGTGGAGAAGACTGTCCCTGAGCTAACATCTGTGCCAATCTTCCTCTATTTCATACGCAGGATGCCGCCACAGCATGGCTTGATGAGCGGCGTGGAGGTCCGCACCCAGGATCCAAACCAGTAAAGCCCGGGCCACTGGAGCAGAGCGCGCACACTTAACCACTACACTACCTGGCCAGCCCCAAGAATGCTTACTTTTTATAAAACTGTGAAGCTGTATTCTAAAAAGGCTACAAAGTTTTACATCCCCATTAGCAGAATGTTTGATTTTCCAACTGCTCCACATCCTCATGAGGACTTGGTGCTGTCTAGTTTTTAAAGCATTTTAACAAGTGTGCTACAGTATCTCACTGTCATTTTAATACATGTTTCCCTAATGACTAGCCAGTTATCTCTTTTACTAATTGACATCAAATTTACTGAAAAAAACTACGTTGTTTTGGGCCCAGCCCTGTGGCCAAGTGGTTAAAATTCCACACGCTCCACTTTGGTGGCCAGGGTTCATGGGTCTGGATCCCAGGCATAGACCTACTCCACTCACTAGCCATGCGGTGGCAGTGTCCCACATACAAAATAGAGGAAGACTGGCATAGATCTTAGCTCAGCTATGATCTTCCTCAAGCAAAACAAGAGGAGGACTGGCAATGGATGTTAGCTCAGGGTGAACCGTCCTCAGCAAAAAAAAAAAAAGAAAAAAATGTAGGTTGTTTTGTCCCACATTCTAGATTTTTCCAGTATAAAGATATCATTGAACATACGCCTCCATTCCTCATATTTTCTTTAAATTGGTAGATATATTTAGTAGGTTGATCAGATTAAGGCTCCATTTATTTATTTATTTATTCATTTATTTATTGTCAGATTACTTCATTGGTGGTGTTTTATGGTCCTTTTAGCAGAAAACACGGAAGATATCAATATCTGCTAGGGTCATGTCAAAAGGACTGGGAATCAACCTGCACAGGCTTCCTCTGGCCAAAAATGGATTATTTGATCATATATAAGGTTAATGACTAGAAGGGACTGCAACACTTCAAATATGCTTAAATCCACTCATTCATAATGATAAAATATACCTACTGATAACTTTGGCAGAAAATTAGAAAACCAATATTTTAAAAACTGTAAATAATCTGAAAAGAATAAAGTATTTATTTCACTTTTTCTATACAAACTACCTCTGAATAAAGAAATAGCTAACGAAGGGATGTTTCTCTTACTGATATATTATAGTTAATAAATGGAGAAGGAATGACTGAATCAAGCTACACCATTTTCTACTCCTAATGAATTAATATATTTAGCTAATGGTTTCCAATGGCTGCTAACCCCACAAAAAGAATGGCTACAGCTTTTTAAAATACTTTTTTCATAGTTTAATTTACTCCATATTAACATACAATTCCAATAAGACTGGAAGTAACAGAAAGTACAGTGAGGACAATATATATATACACACACAAAAAATATATATATACACATATACTGTATATATGCATACATACAAATATACAAAATGATATTTGATGGCATCTAGTTTCATTCAGTGTAACAAAAATAATTTCATATATTTAGAGAAAAAAGTTGAAAGTAACATTATAATGAATATTCAAACCTATAAGTTTATCTCATTCTCAAATAAAAGTTATTTTTATTTTTGGTATATACTATTGAAAAGAATTCAGAAGTATGTAATACCAGTGTCTACTTTTGGGCACTGAATAGACTGTTATTCATGTAGCACATTTATATTTTGTAATACATCATTATTTCCCTTGCAGGCTGGTAAAATAACGATATTAATTCATAGTCACTACAGGAAGGATTTTTTAAATACTTTCTTCTTCAAGTAATCTCCACATGGTCCTACAAGTTGTTTCTTTTTTAATACCAATTTACAGATGAGAAAACTGAGGCTCAGAAAGGTTAAGTAATTTTCCTTGGGATCACCAAGTGATAGATCTGGATTCCACCCAAGGAAGACTGATGCTAGAATGTCCTTTAAAACATTTAAAACCTTTAAACCTTTTAACAGTGTTTTCTTCCTATCTCTTTAAGCTTGAATATAAAATTTCATTATTTTCTGTCTCTTTTATTTTTGTAGACTAGAGAAACATCACTATTTCTTTTGCGGATTCCAAATCTTCCTAAGTTTGTATCCAGTTTTCTCATCAATGGTTTCTACAGAAAATTTACCAGTACTACTTACAAATCATGCTATTTAAATCAATGGGTTTACTGGAGTAGAATGTTCAAAAATCTCTAACATGAACTGTAGTCTACAAGAGAGATTTATTTTTCATAGATTATATATAGAAATTATAGCTAATTAATTAATTAGTTGATATAATTATTTTTTCTAAAACATATTTAGGCTGCTCTGTTCTCAATATTCATAATTTGTAAACTGTGAAGTATATTCATTTCAAAACAAACAAAAAAGAAAAACATATATATCTACAAAAGCGTAGATCCTTAGGAAGAATTTGTTTCTTAGTAGCTTCAAGAGACAAGATTTACATAATTGCTTTATTTTCCTCATTAAACTGGAATCAGACCTTTTAAAAACCTGTAAGAACAGTAAAATTTTAAATCTGCATTCTAGACAAGTGAATGAACACTGGTAT